TCCCAGACTCAGTGACCCACATCGGGAATGCTGCTTTTCGATACTGCAACTCTTTGGCAAACGTGACCATCTGACCATCCCAGACTCGGTGACCCACATCCGGAATGCTGCTTTTCGATACTGCAACTCTTGGCCAAGTTGACCATCCCAGACTCGGTGACCTACATCGGGAATTATGCCTTTGCGAATTGCACAGCTTTGGCAACCTTGACCATCTCAGACTCGGTGACCTCATTGTGGGGATTGTGCCTTTGCGAATTGCACAGCTTTGGTACAGTTGAAAATGGGGTGTTAGCCACAGTCAGGCAGGGTCATCTCAAAGCGTGCAAATCCCTAGAATCTAGAATCTTGGTGAGTCTGGAATTGAACATCACCCAAGGGCCTAAGGGGTGATTCTGAGGTCTCACCCAACGGGTGATTGAATCTCAATTGGTGAGTCTTGGTCCAAATTTACCAGCTTCAAGGATCTTCAAACGCAGCGGATCTGATAGCCATGTGCACTTGAAAAGAACTTGGCACTTGATGGGAGTCACACCTCTCGAAGTTGACAGGTGGGCAAGCAAACTTTTTGCAACAATTAACAGACATCGCTGGCCAGTGAATCAGTTTCTAAACCACCTGAAACACCTTCTCTAGGGGTAGTTGCCCATGACGTCTCCTGGCACCTGTGGGTGAACACCTGCCATATTGATATTCCCGCTTCGCTTCGCTGAAGCACCTTCCGCGCCCTCAGGCCAATGGGGACCTTGAGACGGCCAGAGAGCACTACGTGGGGAGCTCCCAGAACTCGTGGTCGTGCTGAAGCCGCACGTGTCACCGCTGAAGCGGAGGAGGGTGGCACCCAGCCCACTTTTGGGGGAAGAAGGTGAATGAAAGCAGGTACAGTGACAGGCTACCTACAGTAGCTTCAGGGTAATGAGATGGCACCTAAGAATGTTTGAGACAGATGGGGGGTCCATATATACCACCAAACTTGGGCATTGGTGCCATTTACTCTCTATCCACTCTAGTTTCAACTTCGCTGTGGGGTCCGGCAGCTCAGCTTCGAGCTCCCAGGTTGATGGGTCAAGAGGTTTTTCTTGGTGAGGATCCGTGGAAGGGACTTGTTTTTTTGCTCTGGAGGAGGTTGGGAAGGTCGTTATATGATGTTGTGCAACACACACGCCTGCACCGTGTTGTACGATGTCCATCACCATTCTCAGTCTCGTAACGTCCGTCTTTGGGCTCCAAGTATCGTACGATGATCTTCGGAGCCTGCTTTCAAGCAGAGTCCAGAAGAGACAGACCGTCCGGACGATCGAGAACAGACTCAGGATGAAAGAACTGATTCAGGATGAAAGAACTGACTGAGGAGGGGAGAACCCCAGACAGCCATGCCACACAAATCCCTGGATGGAGGGACGGGAGCAGTTCACACACATCACAGTCCACACAGGAACCACTCGGAACCACTCACACCCTGGTGGTTCCGGGGGGATATGGCCCTTGTTGATGCAACAGGGGCCATCAGTGAAGTGCTTGCTTTTCGAGCACTGGGCAGGTTGATCTTCATCACCCCCATCAGTGCTCTTGTCGCGTTCGTTCACGGTGTCACGGTGGAAACCGCAGGCGGCTGCCTTGGAGCATTGGGCCGGGGAGCTCAGCGCCGCGGGAGGGAATGGGCCCATGTGCCCGTCCATGGGCTGTTTGTCCAGTGGATCCCAGGCAGTTCCTACGAGTACTAAGGAACCAGGGGCCCTCGTTCGGTCGAACTGGTTTTAGCCACTGGAACCACTAGTTACCAGCTAAAGTCTAGTGCTTTGCCTGGATGCTGTGGGATGAACTCACTGGCCACAGCGGAGATAGTCCGCCGCTCTGCCCCGGCCACTTCTTTGGGGCTGCGAACAAAGAACAGGTTGAACGAACATGGGTGGACCACGTTGCCACTCCGCGGAGAAAAGACATGCCACCACCCGAAGTCGCAACACACAATCAGGCGGTACAGGCGTAGGTTGGAGGTTGCTCGCTAGTGCTACGTGCTGACCCAATACAAACCTCAGCCAGTATATCCTGCAAACATGCATTGATACATGCTGAAATGATTTAGCTTTGCGGACTTTGCGTTCAGTTCAGTCACTCAAAAAAACAGTGAAGAAAACACATATCAGACCACAATAGTCATACCAGCACCATCCAATGGATTCCAATGGTCCAATGGAGCCTAGTGAAGGCTGGTTCAGTGGAATTGAAGAACATTTTCCCGCCAAGATATCCAAGATACCCTTGATTCACAAAACAAATCTTAGAACATATTGCCCCAAAGGTACCTTAATGTATGGACTCTTCTTTATCTCTCGACCCCATCCTTGAAGAGGTTGTACAAGCCATATCGTGGAGGGTATTACTCACGAGTCTACATGACTTTTTGGGGGGATGTTCCTCGATGGATCACAGGATGGCCCCTCCGATGTTTCCCAGCAAGCCCAGTATCTAACAGTCGGTTAAAGAGTATCACTACCTTTGAGACGTCGGCCTCCAACCTAGCCTAACTATCATCCACCGGGATACTGTACTATATATATATTATACATAACGAAATTAACATAATCATGTATCAACTTCTATTTCAATGTGTTCAATACTAGATCATCTCAACTGATATCATTTCATATCACATTGGCACATTGATGCACATTGGTATATGCTACATATCGGTATTATCTTGTATTATCCTCAACTGATCTCATATCATACATGGTCAATGCTCATACTTTGATTCACCTCCTTTTGAGAGGGTGGATCCCAGGAGGCGGCCCTGCGCCCTGCGCCCAGCGCCCACGAGATCGGCGCGCGCGGAGACCCGCACGGCAGCGGACCGGAGGAGACGGTGGAATCAAGAGATGGAGTTGATTCCACTCAGGAACAAACAGGTGGTCCCATCTCTAGACCGCTGACTGGGCCTCTCAAGCCATCTCTGAATCCGGTTTGGTTTGGGTTCCTTTGCGAGGATTTTGTGGTTAAACACATGCTCACCTGACCTTTAAGAACCTTGATACAGTTGAAAGCAAAAAACACAGAACATACTGGTTTTGCGGAAGAACATGTGGTCCAACTCTGTTGTTCTGTTTTTTTCAGTCTGCGGAGGTTTCTGTGGAGGGTCTGAAGAACGTTTCCGTGCCAAGCAGGACCCTTTGAGAAAAGAGAAACACGATTTAACATGGAGAACACATGATAGGAACAGGGAGGAGTTTTCTCTACATGTGAATGACCTCTTTTTGCTGGAGTTGATCATTTAAAAAAGCACACCAAAACGGAAAGCTCGAGAAGGTCACATCCCAGGATGTACTGGGTCAGACTGGACTTGTGGTGTGTCTTGTGCTTTGCCCTTTTAAAGACCATTTCAACCAGTCTAAGACTGGAATTCGATTCACTGCAGCATTCACATGCAAACAACCGTCATTTGTCAAAGCCTGAAACCACGTGGAAAACACCTCCATGTTGAAGAGCCATGTTCCAAACAACATCCATTTGAGGATCCATGAATTGGATCTTAGCACAGGTCCTGCAGTCATCACTCTTGACCAAGCGTTTTCAGCTGTCCTCACGGATTCTTCCAGGCGCGTTCGCTACAGCCGGCATGGCTTTGGTGTCGTTGGGAAGCCGAGGGATGCATCCAGGGACGGCTCAAGGGACCCATCGGACGGGGTGCTGAACTGCCTGCCGAACCTGGCAGAGCATGAGCATGCAAGAGCCTGCAAGAGCGTTAGGAGAGATGTGACGAGTTCCAACAGAACCAAGCCAAGCGGAGATGATGAAGGAAAGGACGTCCCGTCTCATCCTTCACTCACCCGCACATCATGTCGACACACGCATATATATATATATGTATGATATTGTATTATGTATATATATATATGTATAAGCATGATCATATATTATATATAACTCTGGCTGTTGCTCAAACAAGTTAGACCCAGGAGTCACAGGGTCTGATCGATTTCTGCGCTTTGAATTTCATGTTTGAGCCACATTCCTTTCAAAACCGTAGAAACGCTGAGGTGATGAGTGCCTTTACCATGTTCGATGAGTACTTCTTGAAGGAGTGACATGTCGTGGTTCGATCGAAAGTAGAAATCAACCAGATTTTGCTTGCCACTGGCCCTCGGGTTTTCATAGGGAGGGCTATGTTTGTTGCGTTTAGGGATTTTTGTTGTTGGAGTTGCTTCTTGTCGCTTTTCTGGCTTCTCATTGCTTCGCTTGATTTCTTCTGCTTTACCTTGCCTTTTTTGTCTTGTTTAGCTTTTCATTGCTTTTTTGCGGTTGCTCCTGTTTTTCGTGCTGTGCTTTTGTGTTTGTTTTACTTTCCCCTGATCGTCCTTTAGGGCTCGAATAACACCAACAGCGGTGTGGGTGTGATTTTGAACCCCAGGGGCGTCGGACGCGCCTCGTTTTCCATTTCTGTGCCATAGTCCACTAGAATTGGTGGTAGGGTTGTTCTACGAGACTGACGGCACGGAGACGAACTAAAAGCCCGAGCTGGCATCGAAGATTGCGTGCAAACCGAGCGCGAGCACGCAGATTCCTTGGTGGCTTGAAAGGTGCAACCTACCTGCCCAGAAGAACCAAGAGAAGAGCGGAGGAAGCTGCCTGGTTGCTGATCTCTCACCACAGTCACCCCATGGGAGGATGGAGTGGACAAGGGAAAGGGAAAAATGTGAGGCCTTGGTGGAACCAGTGGCCTCACCAACAGCCGCAGCAAGGACCGCCAAAGAAAAAGAAAGATGGCAAGACAGAGAAGCAGGAGAAGCCAAAGCAAGACAAAGGGGGAGAGCCTTTCCCCTCCTACGAATCTTTGTTGCCTTCGTCGTCCTCATCGACCAAGGATGCTTCCACCAAAGATGTCTTGACTTTGAAAAAGGAAGTGAGAGATCTGCTAGAGTCAAGATCTATCACAATAGACGAGCACCTGTCGGACTTGTTGGGAGCGACAGATCCTCTAGAAGACGTGCGCCAAGAGCAAAAGACACTCAACCTCAAGAAGAAGCTCTTGGCGAAAATGGACAAGCTCAAAGCGAAGCATGCAGAAAAGCGGGAAGCTTGGGGCAAATTTTTGGATGCCATCGAAGAGCACCGAAAAAGGAAAAAGTGAAACACCTCGAAGATCTGCAGTCTCTCAACGAGCAAATGACGGAGGTGCAGAAGGAGATCAACCAGATATTGATCAAAGAATCCCGTGCCGAGAAGGACGCAAGCATGGCAAGTGTGGAAGAGACCGAGAAGGAAATGTTGAGGAGACAGCTGGAGAAATCGAATGCGATGATCCAAGATCTACAAGCACGTGTCGAGACATATGCAGGTGCTACGCCAATTCGTCCAGAACTCCCGAACGAGAAATCTCCGCAGTTTATCAAGAATCCTTCTTTAGGGCTGTTGGATTTCGACTCATCGTTGACAGCACGGACCGCCAGAGCAAGGGTACTGGATGTAGCCAGGCATCAGCTGGAGGAGCCGGAGGCTGTTCGATCCAGAAGTGTCAGCAGGAGCCCAAGGAGAGACGCATCCAATTCTCTCGAGAGGTTCGACTAGGAGCACGTAACTGTGGCCAGGCAGATAGTTATTGTTCGTATCATCTCTTTTCTGGAAAGCAATGTCGACTGAAGAGGGATATCAAGGGAATTGAACAATGCTTCACCTCTGGCCGCATTGAGCATGAATATGAGTCCAGCAACACGGTCCATGTAGGCGCCATGGCTTTCAAGGCGACTATGTCAGTGAGCTGGAACGGGAATGGGTGTTCTGTGCTGGAAGGTACAGAGGCATGTCATTTGTTTGCTGCCGACTTTCGTGACGGAATACTCTTTTGCCCAACACAGGGGGTTTCATCTTTGTATTTCACGAATGATAGCTGTGATTCTTCCTTCGAAGGGGTTGAAAACAGTTATGGGACTAGCAAGCAGGGCCGTATGCTCACATGGGGTCTTGCGAGTGTTTTATTTATTTTCGTCTTGGTTGGCCTCGTTCGGCAAACATGCCGCATTTTAGGTCGTCTCCGTTGTTGCCACCCCTTAAGGGGTTCGGTGAGTGGAGCCAAACTCAAGATGAAGGTCAGGAAGTGGATGAGCATTTTGTTCATCCTAGTAATCTCAATTCAGATGATAGTTTGTCAGCTGTTTGTCAATGGTGGTGTGCATATCCGACCAGACCAGTTGTCAATTGTATCCCCCTTGCACAAGTCCTTATGAAATGGGGATGCTGGTAACCTATAAAATGACTTTTTTGGGGGTCATTTCATAACGATCACAATGTTGCCGGAAATCGGAATTTCAAAAAAACAGACTCTAAAATCCTGGCCCTCATGTCATAAACAGGTCGGTTCGGATCCTGTGAACATTTTATAAACAGGGATTTTTTTAAACATAGAAACAGCTGGGACATGGTTATTCATTTTATAAACAAGTAAGGATGTGAGAGAATAGAATCATGCTGCAGATGGATACTCATTTTGTAAAACACAAAGGGTTGTGTCGGATTTCGGAAGTTTCTGGATTTTTTGATATGTTTGCCAATGGATTTAATAGTCCTTGGTAGGGGAAAACTATTTTATAAACCATTCCCTCTGCCAAACAGCTGGAGGGTGTGGACAAATACGATGGGCCTTGGCAGGGAAAACTATTTATAAAATGGGTTTGCCATCTATTTCCTGCGAGGGTGTGGACAAATACGATGGGCCTTGGCAGGGAAAATTATTTATAAAATGGGTTTGCCATCTATTTCCTGGGAGGGTGTGGACAAATACGAAGGGCCTTGGGAGGGGGAAAAAGGTTTATAAAATGGGTTTACCAGCTTTTCCCTGGGTGTGCACAAATACGATGGGCTTTTGGGAGGTGACAATGTTTATAAAATGGGTTTACCATCTTTTCCCTGGGAGGGTGTGCGCAAATACGATGGGCATGGTGAAGTTTTATAAAATGAGGCGATCCAATCTCCGCGTTTTGGGTCACTTTTTTTGCGCTGTGGTTGGCTCCCTTACAATAGTGGCTCTACAACCAAGGTTTCTAATAACCTTGGTTTGCATGGGCCTATCACACCATAATGAGCCATTTATGGTATAGCCGTATAGTGGCTATAGGCTCCCTGTAGGTAAATCCTGCGCAGGACTAGTTTCTGTGAATTCTGTTTGAAGAGGAATCACACTCAAAACATCTCAAAAGAATGAAAGTCAACTTTAGTTTTAAAAGCATAGAAGCAACTGTGCAATTTAAGACAAGTGATAGCAACAGAATGCAATCATCTCAACAAATTTGCAAGCAAAAACATGTGAAACACAACAATGCCAAAAGGAAAAGCACTGCAGACAAAAATATGTTCATTGATGTTCATTGAATCATTTTGAAATGATTTTGTGCGCTGATCAAAACCTGAGCATTCACCATGTGCCACATGCAAGTTGTGCATTGTCTTTGGCAGGGGAAATGAACGGAAATGGTTTTTAAAATGGGTTTGTCAGCTTTTTCCTGAGAGGGTGTGGACAAATACGATGTGCCTTGGGAGGAGAAAAGGGTTTATAAAATTGGTTTACCATCTTTTCCCTGGGAGGGTGTGCGCAAATACGATGGGCTTTGGGAGGTGAACATGTTTATAAAATGGGTTTACCATCTTTTTCCTGGGAGGGTGTGCACAAATACGATGGGCATGGTGAAGTTTTATAAAATGAGGCGATCCAACCTCTGCGTTTTGGGGTCACTTTTTTGCGCTGTGGTTGGCTCCCTTACAATAGTGGCTCTACAACCAAGGTTTCTATTACATACCTGGGTTTGCGTGGGCCTATCACACTATAATGAGCCATTTATGGTATAGCACTATTGTGGCTATAGGCTCCATGTAGGCAAATCCTATGCAGGACTAGATTCTGTTAACTCTTTTTGAAGAAGAAGAATTCACTCAAAACATCTCAAATGAATGAAAGTCAACTTTATAATATCAAAACAAGGGAACAATTATTTAAGACATGTGATAGCAACCGAATCAAAACATTTCCATCCATTTCCCATCATTTCCCGTGCCAAAGACAATGCACAACTTGAATGTGGCACATGGTGAATGCTCAGGTATTGTTCAGCACACAAAAACATGTCAAAATGTTCAATGAACATCAATGAACATATATATATATATGTGTGCAGTGTTTTTCCTTTTGGCATTGTTGTGTTTCACATGTTTTTGCTTGCAAGTTTGTCGAGATGATTGCTTTCGGTTGCTATCACTTGTCTTAAATTGCACAGTTGCTTCTATGTTTCTAAATTTAAGGTTGCCTTTCATTCTTTTGAGATGTTTTGAGTGTGATTCTTCTTCAAACAGAATTCACAGAAACTAGTCCTGCATAGGATTTACCTTCAGGGAGCCTATTGCGACTATACGGCTAAACCATAAATGGCTCATTATGGTTTGATAGGCCCATGCAAACCAAGGTTATTAGAAACCTTGGTTGTAGAGCCACTATTGTAAGGGAGCCAACCACAGCGCAAAAAAGTGACACAAAACCCGGAGGTTGGATCGCCTCATTTTATAAACTTCACCATGCCCATCGTATTTATGTACACCCTCCCAGGAAAAAGGTGGTAAACCCATTTTATAAACATTGTCACCTCCCAAAAGCCCTTCGTATTTGTGCACACCCTCCCAGGGAAAAGATGGTAAATCCATTAAACATGGTCACCTCCCAAAAGCCCATCGTATTTGTGCACACCCTCCCAGGAAAAAGGTGGTAAACCCATTTTATGAACATTGTCACCTCCCAAAAGCCCATCGTATTTGTGCACACCCTCCCAGGGAAAAGATGGTAAACCCATTTTATGAACCTTTTCACCTCCCAAAGCCCATCGTATTTGTCCACACCCTCCCCACAATACTCATTTTATATACCATTCCCCTTGCATCCCATTGTATCTGATTGTATTTGTTCACACCCTCCACTCAGGGCGGTGAACCTTCGAAAAAAAAGGGATGACACTGACACTATTCAAAGTCCAAACATGTCTAAACAAATCCAAACAATACAGTCACCAAAACAAACAAGGATCAACAACAGCCATGGATGAAC